TGTTATTCCCGACGCCCTATTTTGTCGAACGCATCTAGCAGGTCGAGGTGTTGGATCACAGTAGAAGGCGCGTGGTGGTTGCTTCTTAGTAGTTAACTATAGGCCTCTGAACATGTCAAAAGACAAAGATAACATTCTATTAAACGCTCTTCGCTATGCTCTTTCACAAATGAACTCTCACTATCTTATAATGGGAGACTACAATGTACCTTCAATAGCATCAGTGTCCCCTAATGGGCCATCATTTAAATCGAAGCTCAATGAATTCATGGATATGGCAGTTTTGTGGCTGGCTAGCCGAACAACCTCCACGTGGTGCCAGCTGGGTGGTTCGAGTTAATCCTATTTCAGCGAATAGTTCGGCAGCAGTGTTCCAGGACGTGGTGGGTTTTCGCCTGGCAAGCCTTCGCCCCATAAAAAGTCAAAAGGTCCGTTTAACAACACTGCGACGTGGCGGATGTGACTCGCCACTGTCATTGCCTGTTCCCCTTCCGGAAGATCCCCACTTTGTAAAGGTCATCCAATTGTTGATAAGACCATCCACTGTTGATAAGACCACCCAATTGGTCTGTGCCTCGCACTGCTGAGGAATAAAACGTTATTTATTTTTTTATTTATTTAATACGAAGAGTTCCATTGATCCCTTTATACGGTGGCGAACACAGCAAACAAACTCACGAATTCAACCGTAGTTCCCAACTTGACTCACAATGCCCAATAACACATACACGTACATATAGCTAGACGCACAAATCCAATATGTTACTGGTTAACATGCATTATTTTATACAATTACCGATCATAATAAAGTCACAGCCTACAAATTTCCACACTACGTTACATTCACAAGGACACAAACTGCCACTTCACCTTTGATGTTTTCCTCACATTTAGTTTTCCCATTTATGCATGCAACACAATGTGCCTACTGCGAAACATTGTCTGTACAACTTTGATTACGTCTGATAAGGCGTGCCTCAAAACTATCGTGAATAAGCTATGTATTTATTTATTTTATTTAGTTATGTGCATCAACCAACCAGATACCGCGGTTCAAACAAGCCATCACTCCAGGACTTAATTCTGACTAATGAAGAGTTGATGGTTGAGTCAGTAGCATACGATCCTCCGCTCGGCCGTAGCGACCATTCAGTCAAAAGTTGCGGTTATGTGTGTTATGCCAGTATGGTTGACAAATAAAAAGAAACGCAACGAACTAGTACGCAGTATTTTAAGCTGCACAAATTAGCCGCAACCATTGACTGGGACTTACAGACGCATAAATCAGCGAATGACGCATGGAATGAATCGAAAGATAAAATTAACTGGGTCATACAATCAGCATCAACAGTTGTACCGTTGCGAGCATCGCGCCGGACCAATATGTGGATCCGAAGCAGAACACTTAAATGGATAAACAGAAGAGATGAGATTTGGAGGCGACATTTGCTAAGCCCATGTGACACCACATTGCAGAGTTAGAAAACAGTCCGAAACTACTGCACGTCGCTCATCAGAATAGATAAATACGGATGGCAGAAGAGAATGGTGCGGAAATTTACCAGTGACACCAAACTACTGTACAGATATGTGGATGGCAAAAGAAAGGTTAGGCACGGAATACCACCACTCAAGACGGCCAGTGGCCCAACAACTACTGCTGTGGATGTCACGGACACTCTACTCCTGCAGTTTGGCTCGGGAGCTACAAATACCATGGAACCTTCGCCCTATCAACTCCCAAAAAATGTCGTTGGCTTATCCAGCGTCACCTTTACCCCATCAGCTGATGCAAGCAAATTACAGCCGCTCCGGGAGTACAGTCCCCCTGGAATCGACATGATTTGCCCAAAAGTACTGAAAACTCTTTCTCCCAACATAAGAGCACCACATTTTCAGGGTCTGTTTAACTCCCATACACTCCCATCTGAGTGGAAAAATGGAATTATCACTCCAATATACAAAGGAGATAAGTGCTCAGATCCTGCCAACTACCGACCTATTGCTCTACTTACTGTTTTATCAAAAGTAATGGAATCGGTAATCGCAGATGGACTGACGCGATACTTTGAAACACAACAAGCAATTTCTAATGCCCAACCTGGTTTCAGAGGCAGACGATCTTGTCTCACAAATTTGCTGATTACTTGGGACTCATGGACCAGGGCGCTGATGACGGAGTCCCCATAGATGTGATATACCTGGATTTTTCTAAAGCATTCGACAGGGTCAATCACTTCTTTCTCCTCCAAAAACTTGCTGCTTACGGTATCAACGGTTCCCTGCTCACCTGGTTGGAAGACTACTTACACGACAGAGCAATCAACTTAAGAGTAGCCGAAAGTCACTCTGAAACTCTTTGCGTCCCCAATGGTGTATCACAAGGATCCGTCCTCAGCGCGCTACTGTTTTTAGTGCACCTGAATGACCTACCAGCAGACATTCCATCTCCGATGCAAATATTTGCAGACGATGCTAAAATACGGAGAGCAATTCGTTCAGCATCCAACCGTGTCTACCTCCAGGAAGATCTGAATTGGATTAACGAATGAGCAGAAAGGAATCAGCTCCCAATGAACCTTGCAATGTGCCACCTGCTGAGGGTACGCAGCAGCTTCGTCAACACATACCTTTTGGCGCAACACGTCCTGGAACACGTGACGAGTGAACGCGATTTAGGTATAATCGTGCAAGAGAGTCTTAGCAATTCGCTCCAATTTTCGAAAGCAACAAGTGTGCCGATCTTGAACTTGAGACTTTTGAGGCGAGATCTCGGCGCCTTTGAACGACGGCTAGTACCAATGATGGTTAACTCCTATATTCGTCCTCACATTAAATATGCAATTCAGGTGTGGTGTCCATGGTTAAAACGAGAAATCCGCCTATTGAACAGCCCCAAAGAAGAGCCACAAAGGAAACGCGTGGACTATCCGGTCTAAGTTACGAAATGCGTCTTCGTGTACTTGGTGTGTCTCATTAAAATACCGACGGCTTCGCGGAGATATTATTCTCATATACCGGATACTAACTGAAAGCGAGCATCCATGTACATCACTGTTGACTCTGACCCCTTACAAACAAAGCCGAGGCAATCACCTGAAACTGATAGCGCAACACTCCCGTCTGAACTGTGGAAAATATTTTTCCCTATTTAGAATCTGTTCTCACTGGAATGCATTAGCAAGGTATGTGGTGAACGCACGAGACATGACGACATTCGGAAGACTCTTAGACTTTCATCTTAGTGATAAACGCTACACAACAGTTTGGTAAAGTGGAATGGTTTAACCACTGATACTTCACGTTCCACGTTGGAACGTTTTGATTTTAATTCTTTTTTGCGTATCCAACTTGTGGGTCTAGTAAAGTTATGCCTTGTATCCGATTACATGTTATGGAACTATTACACAAGCCGAAATAACAAAATTATGATCTTCGACCAAACTGATCAATGCAGAAATTCCTTCCACTAGGTAGACAATAAATACAAAAACTACAATACAAGGAATACAAGAAATTGGAGGTGTGCTCTGCCAACATTTAGCTCGGCCACTAGATCCTTACGTGGTATGAGTTTACTGTTTCGCAGAGGGAGCGTTTAGTTGATTATTAGTCAACCTCAGAAATGGGCGCTTCGCTAACACATAAATGTCGTAACGGGTTTTGTGTGGTGTTCGAAGTATAACAAACACACACTTGAACGCCTGTCTCACTAGCTACGGTGAAAATAACAGCGATTCTGATCAGTGAGTGAGAAGAGGAATTCGGTGATAGAACCACTGATTAATACCTGGTAGTGAGAGAAATCACCAATGCAATAAAATACGGTGAGTATTATAATGCTGTTAACTGATTCCTAAGTCCGCAACCGAACAATACGCAATTGCATACAGGTTGAGACACAAATGCGCAAAAGCGTATTCAGCGTAACGCTGCTTCAAACGTCATTTCGGCGAGTAACTCGAGATCATCGAAGATCGTTCTCGATCGGTTCCAAGATTTTCCCATGGTGCTGAATTCTGAATTTGTTTACTGAAAATTCTTGGATCACGGCTACTATGTATGTAAATAAATCATGTGAAGGGAGCATTTGCCATTCGATCTGATAGTGTGCGAATTTCAAGAGGATTACTTTGAGACAGCATTATGGTCTAACTGACGATTTGGAAATTGCAAGTATGAGGTGTAAGTCGGGGTGAGTTACTTGTTGTTATACCTGATTATATGAGGTTTACATATAAAATAAGCAGAATAGGAGAGGAACTGAATTGCGTAATGTAGTATTACTTCTGAGCGTGCAGTATAAGAACAAGCTTGTGCTTTGGAATTCCTCCAGTTCTACCGATCAAAATTGGGATTGTCTGAGCTGCTTCTGGCGGGGCCTTTGACTCACCGACCACACTGGCAGTGCAGCCAAACCGCGCGACTGCAGAGCCCTGCCGTAATCAACGATGAACATCAGATCAGCTTCCACCACGCCAGAGAAAATATGTGAAGCAAACTGATCTAAGCCTGTACTCCGGAGACTGGTCCGTCTCAAGGCTGCATTCTCAGAGAAGAAAACGGTTGGAAATCCTCTAACCCACTTGTAGAAGAAGTTTGATATCACGTGTTCAAATGCTAACCAGTGTGCCGGCTGCTAAGAGCTGTTCCAGTGGCCCCTGCAAAGTGCCGTTTAGCGCTTTGCTCATTTTGAAGCAGAAGTGCCCAAATCATCACTCTAAAACAGGACAGTCTGACCACGATTGCAAGCTAATTGGTATACAGAGATAGTGGTGCTCACCGTATGGTAATGCTCTGTTATGGCCGAACACACCTTGAGTAATCAATTTTTAGAATTAAGAAGGTCGATCCTGATGCCCTTGAATGTTCACTCATGAAGTTGTTTATCCGCATCAAGCCGCACGCCTACCTTGGTCTTGAGAAACAGAATGGATGCGAAGCAAAAGCACAGAAATGTGGAGAATGAAATGTAGTTGAACAAAACCATTTGCACGTACCTTCATCCACACTAGAACACTGTGAAAAGCCGCAATATCAGTTAGTCCCAAATGCACTCCATTTGTGGATTCTGACAGATCGGCTGCAATAGCAAGGTAAGTGGGGAAGTGAGTAGGCGCGAAAAATTACGCACTAGTAGTAGCAAAACTAAAAACAATGCCATGTTGAATGATTTGTGATCAGCATAGTATCTGGAATGTAATAGCCATGCGGACGCTATGGCGTCTTGTCGTTTTTATGTTATTAACAACACATCTGCGATGACTGACCAGCTAAGCTCAAAATAGCCCGTCTCCTCAACCAGACAAATGTGCAAGAATATTAACGAATTCATGCGGTCGGTAAGTTCAACAGTTCTATGTTCGTATAACAAACGAGTTGGGTGATGCCAATGACACAGAGCAAATAATCACGAATACACCTGTAAACCTTAACAAACATCCATCAAGTTTCTGTTACAGATAACTCCTGTTCATGTGCGTACAACCGTCTCACGTTAATCATACCAATAAGCATAAACAAACCTCGTCTCGTCTTCTCCCAATGAGTCTGGGTTTGTTCAATCAAGCTGAGAAATTCTCGGTTCGCTGTTTCACCTTCTGCTGTTGGAGGCAGGCTGAGAGAATAGATCAGCTCGTGCAGCAGTTGCTTGAACTCTTCGTCATTCGCAGTGACGATGCACTAGGCAAAGAAATGTAACAAATTCTACGATAATGCGGCTGACACGGTAGATTCAGACGACCAATGAACAGATTGATGCGTATCGTGCTTTTGATATTGTGCATTCAAAACAGACGTAGGCCCAAAATAGTTAGATATGGCGCCCGTGGCTACACAAAATTTACCTTAGACGTACTACATTTTCAGCTGCGGAGAGGAAATTATCATGGAAACAATTTTGTCGCCTGTGTATGGGGCTGCTAGGTCAGCTGCTGCTGCTAACCCTCTTTTACGGAGCTAGCCGAGCTACTCATGAGTTAATGTGTAAAAGAACAGCGTTTGACGTAATAGCGCTTTTAGGTCGCCTGGTTGTGGCACCTACTGACCACGGTTTCTCTGTGAAGAGAAGGGTTCTAAACACGCCTGAGTGCAGATGGTTACCACCGGCTTGATCTCACATTCGGTCATGAAGGAGAAACGGTTTCATAGCTAAATGTTACCTTTGACGAATCATACTATAATTATACCATGACATATTCACCGGCCGGTTCGACACAATGATGAATCTAACCAAAGTGTACTTCTGTATAGCAGGTTACTTCACCCCACGGAGCCACCATCAAACTAACCGAAAATCCATATTCGAAGCGCAGTATGTTAGATAGAGCGTCCCTTCAATAGAGGTATGTCAAGACCGACACCCTGTGTTCCAAATCGAAAGACACGCTTCATTCAACGGGAAACCCATCTTATCCAGACCTCAATGGAAAGGAGACCCGCTGTTGGATGCATACAAATAGCATATTTCTCACTTTAAAGCTGTTTCTGACGAGTCAATTTGTTGACCACAAAAGCAATTTTTTAAAGACAAATTATAGACTAAATTCGTGGCCACCTAAAGTATGAACCGTGCTCAAATCAGTTCAATATCCGAACATATCCAAACAATATTGCTGCTTCTATTTGCAACACATGGGATTTACGCACCACGTCTTAGTAAATCTCAACTGCGAGACTGTGGTTCGTAGCAAAGCCATCCATTGGGTAAGCATATGCTCCCGGACTGAATAATGCGCCGTTTTCAGGTATTCGTCTCTGCATCATCGTGTAAGCAGTTGACGTACAGACAGAGCAGTTCAGAACGCTTTCGAAGTGGTACACGGTCCATCCGCGTTAGCTAATGGGCAAACATTCTCGGTGAAATTTTGAACAATGAACAATGCATTACAACGAGATAAAACCAAGTGCTTGACACGTCCCGTAGGATGGCTGGGGTGATTATGATGAAGTCAAAGTATATCTGTGGGTCATCTACCAAACGTCTGAGGAGAGAGGGATACTTTGATAAATAACATCAAAATTAACAAAATCGAGCATAAACCTATAGAAACACACTGGGCTGCAGTGGACGTTGATATAAGGAGTGAGAAAATTAAAATATAGTCGCTCACTTCGGTCCATTTGATACATAGATCCAGTAGAAACGTATGCTTGGCGTAATCCACAATAGAGGAGTTTAGGTAACAAAGTGCTGGGAGCTAAGAGCAACATCTAATCGTTTTTTTTGAAAACGTCCAAAGTAAGGGAGGATACAAGTGAATCAGGGAGTGCGTTCCAGGGTTGGCAAACCCGAATGGAAAAGTAATTACGTCGAGACTAGACGGCTATATTGTTCCTTCAAATTTAAGCAGTTACCCCTGAGCTACGTGTTGTGGCTGTTTCAGCAAATGGCTGCATACGTGGTTGGGGTCACTCAATATTTCATACGCTAGTATGAGATCACCGTGCAGCCTTCGATAGCGTCCGCTGAAAATTCCAAGCAACTTCAGCCTTCTGTGGTAAAGAGTGATAGCGCAGCCCATTCACAATCTTTGTTGCTGTTCGTTGTAGTGCCACTAACTTCGCTAGGTCGCGCTTCAACCAAGGTTTCCAAACTTGGATAGCATAAACAACATGCGGGCGAACGTAGGAATTGTGCATCATTGGGAAGATTGATGGGTCAAATCTGCCGAATGCCCTTCGCAGCATGCTGACGTGCTGGTTGCCTCTTTTCGCAGCTACCGCAGCCTAGTTTGAACAGTTGAGGTCGCTCTGTACGAGCACACAAAGGTCACATTCCTGGGAGCTGGTCTGCAATCCGTTTGTCCCAAGCAAATATGTACTTATGTCTATGTCGTAATTGAACAACGCGACATTTGTCTACGTTGAATGGTATGGCGTTTTGAACTGACCAGTTCGACACTATGTTAAGATCGCAATGGAGCCGTTCGTGGTCGTCCGGCCCTTTGATCCTTCGCCATGTCTTGATACCATCAGCGGAAAACAGGAAATCGGAAGCAATTGATCTCACCAAATCGTTAATGAACACCAAGAATAGACGAGGTCCAAGCACGGTCTTTTAGTACACCACAGACCACATCGATTGCATCGGACAATGATTCTCGGACTCTTACTTGTAGCTGGCGTTCGTGTAGAAAAGTGCTAATCTAACTCAGAATTTGATCACCAATACCGTAGTTCCGAAACTTCTGAAGAAGAACTCGATGGCCTAAGCGATCAAACGCTTTTGAGAAGTCCAGGTAGATGACATCGACTCGTGCTCCATCATCAACGGCTTCAGTCCAGCTATTACGTGCAATTAATAGGTTAGTATTACATGAACGCTTTTGACAAAAGCCATGTTGCTCTGGGGATATTAAGTTGTGCCTTTTCAGATACTGCATCAGCGCATCTTTGATGATTGATTCCATCACTTTGGATGGTACAGGAAGTAGTGTTATTGGACGGTAGTGGGCAGGGCCAGTGCAGCTACCTCCTTTATGGATAGGAGTAATGACCCCTCGCTTCCATACTGGTGAAATATGGTTCTCTTCTAGATATCGCTGATAGAAAGCAGCCAGTGGTGCTGCTAGATCACTAGCTACCTTCCGCAGAGCCTTTGGTCCGATGTTGTCGAATCCAGGAGAACTGTGGATACGCAAGCATAACAACTTCTTCAACACAGCTTCCGCAGTGAATCTGATGTTGTCTAAACCAGATGGTGGAGTATTAGAAATGAGGAGAATATATGGGCTCGTTACCTGCTGGAAAGTTTGGGTAATGAAGCCGTAGGAGATCGGCTGCTTCCATTGCTGACCTCGTGCATCCATCAGCTGTGACTAGTGCTGGAATCCCCCGCCTCACTTTCCGAAGGCCGTTAACGTGCCTGTACAGAAGTTTGCGGTTCAAGCAGAATCGCTTCATTAACTCCTGTTGATGTGTTACCCTGTCTTCGCGGATCAGTTTCATACAGAAGTTACGATGGGTCACGTATGTAGTCCAGGTTTCGGCATTCGAGCGATCCTTGTGAGCTCGCCATGCCAAATCCCTACCGGGACATACATTTACGTGTTCTGCTCCTCAGAAATGACTTCTGCTTGTTTTTGGGTTGGAAGCACTTCAGTTCCTATGCGTGCGCTACCAGTGTGCTAAACGTCCTTGTAAAGGTTTCCCAGGCAACATATGGAGGGCACTCGGTTAAGAAAGTTCAAGATGTTTCCTTAACAAGCGTAGATAACACACTGTAGTGCGTGGCAGTATGCACTGTATCATCCTCCTTTTCAGGATACGCCGCATAGCATATATAGTCAAGTAGTAGAGTAACATGGTCACTACGACCCAGTGGTATGTTTGTAACTATTCTCTCAACCATGAGTTCCTCGTTAGTGAGCACAGGATCCAGTATCGATGACTTGCTAGCAGTTCGAAATCTGGTGGGAGAGGTTACGTGGTTGTACAGAGGGTGGCTAGCAATTAGCCCTTGCAAGCAGGCTTTAAACTGCGTACCGTCGGTTGCTGGCGTTTCTATGTCGTGCACGTTAAAGTCTCCAGCGATAAGCATGGGTGTGTAGGACTTGTTCAAGGCAAACTGGAAGACCTGGCTCAGTTTGGAGTCCATTTCCGACGTTGAGTTTGGTGGACGGTAAATCACGGCTAGTAGACATGTGTCCTTGTTTCGCAACCATAGACGACACCAAAGCGAATCAGGAGCGCAGATTTCCGGGTGATCGATAACTTCACATCGGAGGTTCGTATTATAATAAAGAATCACACCACCACCCCTTCCATTTCTATAGTTCCGAAGCAGCGACATTTTGGGTAAATTGATCTCAGAACTGTTATCTCAAGGTTAAACCAGGTCTCTGTGATCATGACGAGGTCCCGCGGTTGTGAGGCATGGAGTTCTCTAAATCCGGCCAACATACTTAGAAGACCTCGGCCGTTTAAGTACATGCAAGCTAGGGTTTTTGTTGTTGGGAGTTCGTTGACGGATGTCAACTTGTGTTGGTCTTCAAGTCGGCCGTTAGGTGGCCGGCCATTGATTGCTTGTTGGTTTGTGAATTTTAGTCAAGTTGCATGGCATTATTGAGCGTTCCTGAGCAGACGTTTCATTCGCGCTGTGCTCTGTCCTGTTTTGTGTCGTGGGTGCTGTTATGTCGGTCTCTCTGCAGGACTGTGCAGATAAAGGATTTGCGAGGTTTGCAAGTTCCATCGAATTGCTGACGACACTTCGCCGTTCGCCTGCTGCCTTTAGCCGGATCTCTGTTGGCAATCTGGCACAAAGCTTTAACCAGTTATCCTACAGAACTTGCGTCATTCCCTTTGGAGTGTAGTATTACTTTCATTAGCCTTGGACTGCAGCGCTTGTAGTTAGATGATGATGGAACTCTTGTCAGGGATTTGGCAAAAACATTGTCAACAGAAAGTGCTTCGTGGATGTAGCACCACTGCTCTCGGGCATGTGTTTACGCATCGTGATCAGAAGAATGCAGAAGCTCGGGAACATCATGAACAACTATTGTTTTCTTGCTATCGCTAGTTGGAACTCCGCGTTGGTCACCTGCTTCTTTTGGGCGATCATTCCAAGTGAGATCAGGTAATACGCGTATTCCGCTCGGTGAATTGCGAAGAGGAACTGCTGAGAGTAGGGCAGTCTCTGTCTCATCTGCTGAGTCTAGTGTTACTCTAAGAATTTGAGGTTC